CAAAGGAGATAGGATTACAACCAAGAATCACCTACCCAGCAAAACTGAGTATAATCCTTCAGGGGAAAAAATGGTCATTCAGTGAAATAGAGGACTTTCAAGCATTCTTGATGAAAAGACCAGAGCTGAATAGAAAATTTGACTTTCAAATACAGGACTCAAGTGGAACATGAAGAGGTAAACAGGAAAGAGAAATCATAAGAGACTTATTAAGTTGAACTGTTTACATTCCTGCATGGAAAGATGATATTTATAACTCATGAGACCTTTGTCAGTATTAGGGTAGTTGGAGGAAAAAATTATATGATATGTATAGATGATAGATAGATAGATAGATAGAGGGCCCAGGGTGAGTTGAAGATTAAGGGGTCATATCTGGAGAATAAAATTAAGGGATGAGAGAGGATTATACTCAGGAGAAGAAGAAAGGGAGAGGTAGAATGGGGTAAATTATCTCACAAAAAAAAAACAGAAAAGAAAAGTCTCTTACAGTGGAGGGGAAACAGGGGAAGGTGAGAGGGAATGAGTGAATCTTATTCTCATAGGATTTGGCTTAAGGAGGGAATAACATACACATTCAATTGGGTATGGAAATCTGTCTTACCCTACAGGAAAATAGGGGGAGAAGGGGACAAGAGAGCAGGGGATGATAGAGAGGAGGGCAGATTGGGAAAGGGTATAATCAGAAGTAAATACTTCTGAGGAGGGACAGGGTCAAAAGAAAGAATAGAATAAATGGGAGGGCAGAATAGGATTAAGGGAAATAGAGTTAGTTTTTCACAACATGTCTACTATGGAAGTGTTTTGCATAACTGCACATGTATAACCTATATTGAGTTGCTTGCCTTTTCAATGAGGGTGGGTGGGGAGGGAGGAAGGGAGAAAATTTGAAACCTAAAGTTTTAAAAACATATGTTTAAAAAAATGTTTTCACATGCTACTGGGAAATAAGAAATACAGGAAATGGGGTACAGAAGTCTATCCTGCCCTACAGGAAAATAGAAGGGGAAGGGGATAAGAGAAGGGTGGAGAGATAGAAGAGAGGACAGACTAGGGAAGGGATATTCAGAATGCATGTCATCTTGGGGTGGGGAGAGGGGTGAGATGGGGTGAAAATTTGGAACTCACAATCTTGTGGAAGTAAATATTGAAAACTAAAAATAAATAAAGAAAAGAAAAAAAGAAAAAAGCCTGGTTTTCTTTCTATGAATACTTTGAATACGTATTTTAAAAAATAAAATATCTGCAGTTTTTTTAATGGTTAGACTCAGGTTTGTAGGTTATGTTATCTTGAGTTACATTTTGAGCTCTTTTGCTCTTTGTAACATTATTATTCCATTTCATCCTGTTGTTTCTGGTGAGTACAGAATAGTCTTGTATTATTTGAATTTCCTTCCTTTATATTTGAAGGTCTTTCTGCTGGTTACTAGTAGAATTTCTTGTTTGTTGTTGGAATTATTAAATTTAACCACTGTATGTTTTGGAGATTGCAGTATAGGGTTTTTTTTTCCTGGAGGCAATCTGTGGATTGTTTTGATTGGCACTTTATTTCCTGTGTTCAGAAGTTCTGGACAGTATTATTTCTTGCATTATCATGTTCAATTTTTTTTTTACTTCTCATATTCTTCTAAGAGACCTATAATCATTAAGTTGTCATCTTGTCTTCAGCAGCAATATGTTTAGCTTGTATGGTGATCATGTTTTCTTTTAACGTTATTGCTTTCTGCTTCTCTTCTTTCATATCATCCTTCATTTTTGCATATTTGTATTCCCAATCTCACTCTTCAGATTGAGTTTTCCCAAACTCACTCTTGGTAAGTTACCAAGAAACTCACTTGGTTCTTCGGCAAGATTTGCCATTATGTATTCAAGTTTTTCTATTCTGCCAATTATTTCTGCTGTGCAGGCTATACATTCTTTCACAATCTTAGCTCACTTTTAAAGCATTCTGGAACGTTCTGCTGTGATTCCATGTTTTCTTGGGAATCTATGGGGTCCTTTGCCTCATTAGGTGTTAATTTGTTTTTCCTCTGTTTTGCAGTATTTATGCATAGATGTCTAGATTCATTTGGCTGATCTGATGTCATATTTCCTTCTGTAATTAATATCTTTCCTATAGGCTCGTTTGTGACAAGCCTATAGCCTTTGGGACATGCCTAAGCCACCTAAAATGGAGACACCCAAGTGGGAGATGCCAGGGTCATGCCTCTATCCCGGTATGGACATTTATTGCCTACCAAATGAGTGGGAGTAGCCTTTTTTCATTAGCTGCAAAGACAGAACTGCCTACATCTTTAAATTTATTTGATTGGGACAGTTCTTTAATCTTCCTCTCTCTCTCTCTCTCTCTCTCTCTCTCTCTCTCTCTCTCTCTCTCTCTCTCTCTCCCTCCCTTTTTCTCTCTCCCTCTCTTCCATTAGGACTCATTCACTCAATGATTCACATAGCATGTACTAATTGAGGTAGGACCTAATAGTATTTTCTCCTTTCCTCATTCCGAATTGCCTCAAGAAATGGGTTTGGGATTTTGGTCTTGCTTGGTTTATCTGTCCTTCTTCCTTCCTTCCTTATTTCCTTCCTTCCTTCCTTCCTTCCTACCTTATTTCCTTCCTTCCTTCCTTCCTTCCTTATTTCCTTCCTTCCTTCCTTCCTTCCTTCCTTCCTTCCTTCCTTCCTTCCTTCCTTCCTTCCTTCCTACCTTATTTCCTTCCTTCCTTCCTTCCTTCCTCTTTTTAACAAATTTGTTTTCCATTCCAAATTCTTTCCCTTCCTCCATTTCTCTATCACCCATTAAGAATGCAAAAAAAATATGGTGTCCATTAAACATATGAAGCCATGGAAAATATTTTTGTATTAGCCCTGTTCCAGGAGGGAGGTAGGAGGGGAAGCAAGAAAAATAAAGGAAAAAATATGCTTCAGTCTGCAATATGAGTCTGTCAGTTCTGTACCTGCAGGTGGTTAGCATTTTTCTTCATAAGTCCTTCGGAGGTATGGTGTATCATAGTACTTTTCAGAGTTACTAAGTCTTTCATGGTTGATTATCATTACAATACTGCTATTACTGTGTATATTGTTCTCCTAGTTCTGCTTACTTCACTTAGTATCAATTCATAAAAGTCTTTCCAGATTTTTCAGAAATCATCTCCATCATTTCTTACAGCATGATTGTATTCCATCACATTCATATAGCATAACTTGTTCAGCCATTCCCCAACTGATGAGTATACCCTTCATTTCTAATTCTGTCAACACAAAAAGACTTGCTATAAATAATTTTGTTTATATGGGTCTATTTCCTTTTTCTTTGGTCTCCTTAGAATATGGACCTAGTAATGGTAATTCTGGCTTAGTTTGTCCTTTTCAATTCTAGGTGCAGGGAGTTGAGTCCTAGACATGGGAACTCAAGCCATGGTGACCTTAGTGCCCAGGAATTCAGTCCAGATGTTGTCCCCAACCCAGCAGGGAAACCTTGAAAAGCCTAGATCTTGGAAACGGAGGGTCAGAGAAAGTATCTAGTTCTCCATTTTATTGGTCCTGTGACCTAGAGGAGCATATACTTTTATGAGGAATGTTTTACCCATCTAGCTTTAGTGGATAGAGTTTTAGACTTGGTATCAGGAAGATAGGGATTCAAATCCTATCTCTGATGCTTACTACTTGTGTGATCCTGGGCAACTCATTTGACTTCACTGAACCTCAATTCTATCATCTGAAAAATGAAGATAATAATATCTAACTCACAGGATTGTCATGATACTCACGTGAGAAAACTGTGTTTAAAGTACTTTGTAAATCTGAAAATGTTATAAAAATGTCTATCATCATCATCATCAACATGGATTAATCTTCTCCCCGGATGTATTAATTCACTTTGACCTCTCTTCAAGAGAATATACATGAGCTCCTACAAAACTGGCTGCAGAACTTGATAGAATAGGAACCTGCCCCCCCACACACACACCAAATGACCCAAGAACTTTGGACTCCAGGGCAGACCAGATGGGGAGACATCTGGAGACATGAAAGTCCTTTTGTTGGTTGTTAGATCATATTACATGAGTGTCTTTCTATCCCACTTATGTTTTGGGGAATGGGTACTCTGAGAGGCCACAGAAAGTGCAGTAGCAAAGATGTAAAAAAAAATCTGTAGCTCTGAGGAACAGATGAGAGCTGGCTTTCACTCCTTAAAGCTGTAGACTCAATTCTATTCTGTTTTAAGTAGCCCTGAAGGTGGCATGCCTAGCTTTTTTTCATCAACCTGAGGCAGAATAGGGTGGTGGTAGCAGAGGAGACTTTTGGGAAGAATCAGACAGTTGGGAAACAACCCAAAGGAGATCACAGGGCTCATAAATTTAGAGAAGGAAGGGAGTTCTATGACTGCTTTTTAGAAGTTATTGAGTCCCATCCATCCATTTTACAGATAGATAGACTAAGAACCAGAAGGTCAAGTGACTCATTCTAGGTCACATAGGTAGTAAGTGGCAGAGCTTAGACTTGAAATTAGCTATCTGACTCCAAATTCATGCTTCTTTTCATCACACCAGGATGAATGGTCCAGGGATGGTCACAGTATAAAGAATGGATTACCTGCCCAGCATGTTTTGAGGAGCATTTGGAGATACTGACTCACCCCTACTCACAAATTATCTCTCCCACTGTCTGAAATTCTATTATTAGAACTTCTCTAATAGAGATTAAAGTATCAAACATCTCGACTGTAAGTTCTGTCAGCAGCAGAGATCTTGGCTTAATTATTTCTGTATTTCCCCCAGCCCCAAGCACAATATTCTTGACACTGTGAGCACTTCATATTAGTTGAATGATGAATTAATGAATGGTTACCTAGAGATAACCCATCAACACACTAGCACTTCCCCCTCCCCATAATTGTTGATCAGACTGGCTGAAGCATGGGGCTAGCATTAAAATAACAATAATAGTATCCTATGCTTATATACCATTTTATAGATTTGTCATCTATATATAATTATAGATCCCACTGGAGAAGGCGTTGCTGCCTGGACAGTCAGGCCAGAGCTTGAGATCATCATCGTTTTGTAATCATTTTCTCAAGGAAGGCCATAGTTGAAACTTCTTCCTGCTGCCAGTCAGCTCTGACTGAGGGAGCTCTTGACCTTTCAGATTCATGAGGTTGCCTCTAAGGCTGGAAGAGCCCATCTTACAATGATTATTCTGTCCCTGTGCTCCTGGAAAGAAACAAAAGCAGAAGCAGCTTAGCTAGGGGGTTCAGGGTCTGAGTTAGGTTTGCCTAAGCATTAAATGTGCCTAATATGTGCAAATGGCCAGAGGTGCCAGGGGTAGGGCAAGTGCTCCTCTCCTATTCACATGAAGAGAGAGACAGAGTCAAAGAGACAGAGGGAGGGGGAGGAGAGAAGAGGGAGAAAAGAAACGGAGGAGGAAGAAAGAGGAGGTAATGGGAGAGGGAGTTCTGTGTCATATGTTTCAGACAGAAAGAATAATTAGAGCAAGAATAGAAGTTGCCCCTCTTTCTAAAGTTTATTGAGTAGTTGGTTTTTTTTAGCCTAGAGGCCAATCCTCTGATGTATCTTACTCCCCCTGCTTCCATAATAGGGACCAAGGGATGACTGTATCTTCCCAAAGTGTCAAAATCTTCAGCACTGAGCCAGAACCTATGGAACCCAATGAAAATGGGCCACGGTAGCCCAACTCAGTTCACTTATGCTTCAATGGAGTGATCCCCACTACATATAAAATGCTACTTAAATATAAGCAACTACCCTCACAACCCTGAAAGGTATAGTACAAATATGATTAGCCCCATTTTGAGGATGAGAAAACTGAGGCTCAGAGAAATAAGGTCCTCCATCAAAAACTTGAAACAAGTCCTTTGACTCATTTCAGCCCCAAAGCTCTTCCCACTATACTGCCATGCTTTGAAAGGCATTTCAGAAAGCTGAATGCAGCAGCCCCACCCTGCCCCACTCTCTAGCTCCAGAGGAGCCTTTTCCTTACCTAACTCCTAGGTCTCCCTTCACTGAACTGAGAGAGGGGAGGAAGACCCCCCAAAAAAGCTGAGCCTGGAATTAGAGCCCCTCCTCCTCACAGTTGATGCAATTGTCACGCCAGGGCTGACTGACAATTTAGTTTCATTCCCAATCCAAAGTCATTCACTCTCTCCCCTAGCTGGGCTTTTCACAAGGTTAAATGTATTTCATTTACAGCCCTAGGAAGCACTAGGGAGAGAAAAAATATTTCCCTTTCCCTCTGAGAGCAAAGATGCAATCTTCAGCTGCATGAATAGAAGTAAAGTGTTTGGATCACAGGAGGTAATAGTCCTGCTGTACTCAGAAATGCTCTACACTGTGTCCAGTGCTGGGCGCTACACTTAGAAGAGATACTGACAAGCTGCAAGAAGAATGACAACCATGGTTCCAAAAGGCACTTAGGGATTGACCCCAATGGAGAGGATTTAGTCCTAGTCCCAGAATGCTAAATCTAGGAGGAACCTGAGAACACAGTGTTAGAGCTAGGAGGGACATTAGAGTCAGAACTAGAAGGGATCTCAAAACATGAAATGTCAGAGCTAGGAGAGACTTTGGAGGGCAGATAGGTGGTGCCATAGTGTGCAGAGTTCTGGGCCTGGAGTCAGGAAGACTCATTTTCCTGAGTTCAAATCTGACCTCAGACACTTACGAGCCGTGTGACCCTGGGCAAGTCATTTAACCCTGTTTGCCTCAGTTTCCTCATTTGTAAAATGAGCTGAAGAAGGAAATGGCAAACTACTCCAATATCTCTGCCAAGAAAACCCCAAATGATGTCACAGAGATTCAGAAATGACTGAATAACAAAGAAGAGACTTTATAGCAGAATTTTAGAACACGATATCAGAGTAGGAGTGGACTTCAGAACATATAAAGTCACAGCAGGATGAGACCCTAGAACAAAGAACATAGGATGTTAGTACCCAAGATGGCAGTAGACAGGATGTCAATACTTGGAAGTAATGGTATGAGTAAGGTGAACTCCAAGAACCCTTCTATTTCTAATGGTCCAGGTTCAAAGTTTCTTTCTAGCTTCAACAGATCATAGCCTAAGGTCCCTTCTAGTCAGCCCCAGGATGGATTGCAGAATCATAAAATCACTGAATCTAAGAATCATAGAATCACACTGAAAACTCATCTCAATTTGAGGAAGAAATCAGAAACTATTGGGGTTATCTGATCTCCCTCATTTGAAAGAGAGACCAAGATAGTAAGAGAACTGGAAAAACACATTACTTCAGGAATTGTTAAAGGAACTGGAGTTATGTCAAATTTTAATTAAGTAGGGTCATATCACTGAGTGTTAGGAAAGAAGAATAGAGATAATAAAGTCACTGTCTTCAATGCCTGGGGGGCTGTCACATGAAAAGAGTGAACTGATATACTCTATTTGACTCCAGAAGTCCAAACTGGGGTCAATACTTTGAAGTAATAGGGAGCCAGAATTCATCTCAATTTGAGCATGAGTCTCCTGAAAATAGAACAGGGCTGCCTTCATAGGTGATGAGTTACCTGTCACTTGCAGTGTTCAACCAATGTCTGGATGAAGACCTGCCAGGGATGCTATAGGAGGCATCACTACATGGGCTAGGAAATAGAACTAGATGACTTCAAAGCTAATGTTCTTGTCCTGAGAGACTAGGATTCAAAGAATCAGTGATTTTATGATTTTGCAATCTCTCCTGAGGCTCACTGGAAGGGACCTTAGGGTATCATTAAAACAAGAAAGGACCTGTTAGATCTGGAAAGAAACTTTGAACACGGAATATTGGAATTGGGAGGAACTTTGACGCTTACCTCGTCCAATCCTTTCATCCAACAGAGAAAAAAAAAGTACTTAACCCAAGTCACAGAGTGAATTAGTGGTAAAGCCAGTAGAACCCAGGTCTCCTGATTCTCAAGGTGAAGGTTCTTTCTATCACTGCAAGCTGCCTTTAAGTAAGTCTATAGGGGGATGAGGTTGAAGAGGAAGAGTATTTTAGGGCTGTGAAATTGTCTTCCCCAGTGCTTAACCCAGTGCTTAGAACAGAAAAAGCCGGAAGGAAGGAAGGAAGGAAGGAAGGAAGGAAGGAAGGAAGGAAGGAGGGGACCAGGTTGGAGGGGTGGAAAGAAGGAAAGAAAGACTCCTTTATTAAGTGCCTAGTATGTGCCAGGCACTGTGCTAAATGCTTTACAAATATTGCCTCATTTGATCGTCATAACAACCCTAGGAAGAAGGTGCCATTATGATCCCCATTTTACAGTTGAGGAAACTGAGGCAAATAGAGGTTAAATGACTTGTCCAGGGTTACACAGCTAGTAAGTGTCTGAAACAAGATTTGAACTCAGGTCTTTCTGATTCCAAATCCCATGACTCCATCCACTTTGACACTCAGTTGTGTTTGGTATAGTATAGATGGTATTGTTGTATTGTCTTACATTGTGTTAGGTTGTATTATATCACATTCTGCTATGAATAATTTCTTTTATTTTCACAAAATCACAGAATTTGAAAGTTGGAAGGGATTTCAGTGTCCATTTAATCCAATTCATACCCAAAAGGAACCCCCAGTATAAAATGCTGGACAAATGGTCATCTACCCTCTGCTCAAAGACCTCCAAGAAAGGGGACTCCAGACACAGCTCATAATACTTTGTGACAGCTCTAGATGTTAGGAAGGTTTTCTTTCTGTCTCTTTGCAGCTCCCACCTATAGCTTTTGATTTTGCTCTCAGGGGCCAAACAAAATGAATTTAATCTCTTCATCTCATGGTAGCCCTTCCAAGACTCAAGCACAGCTATCGTATCTCCTCTTCCTCTCCCCTTCCCCCCTCCAGCCCTCTTTTCTAGGCTAAATAGCCTCAGACTCTTCAATTCATCTTCATATGACTTTTACCCACCTGGCTGCCAACCTCACCAGCTTCTTAGATGCCCTTCCAAAATTTCTATACCCAGAATTGGTCACAATACTAAAGATGGGGTCTGACCAGGGCAAAAGGGATGATCACCTCTTCACTGCCAGAATTTGTTTCTTTCAAAGCAGCCCAAGGCACATTAGATTTAGGGGCTATCACATCACACTGCTGGCCCGTTTTGAGGTTCTGGTCCACTACCACACAAATATATACACATAACACCTTGGGTTCTGCTGTATTATGTTGTATCCAGCCTAGCTCCAATCACACCATTTGTACAGCTATCTATTTTTGCCTCCATATAGGGCAGGCTCAACCCCCAGGGAACAAGGAGTTCTGGGATCTGGGCAGAATGAATGGGAAGAGGCTCCTTTTTAGCCCACAAACCTGAGACTGCAAAGCAATCTCCAGAGCTCATACAATATTTCCAAGCAGCTAAATGAATAAGACAATTCCCCACACAGAACTTAGCTGCCTCTGTGCTCAATTAGCATAGATAAATATTTTTGAGAGAGGATGGGGAAAGAATGCATCTCCAGCTAAACCAGGAGGATGGCTCTCAGTGACTCCCGCCTTCTCCTGAATCAGGTCTAATGAATTCGCACTTGATATAATTGACAGCTCCCCAGTCTCTGAAGGCTGGCAGCCAGGGCGGAAGGAAAATGATGCATTTGCTAGAAAAGGATGTTGTCAAAAGCTGGTGGTCACTAGAAGCTAACTAGGAGCATGGCCAGGGGCATTGGAGCTTCAGAGGAATCCTCACATTCCAAACTGCCCTTCCCTTGAGGCCAATGAGGGCATCCCCTGAGCCCCAAGCTTGGCAGTGGTGGGACCCTCATTTCCTCAGCTGCCACTCTTCCCATCCAGAGATGGGGAAGGCAAACAGGTGGCTATTTTTGGCCAGTGACTGTCTTTGATGACTTGCCAGGAGAAGACACGTGTCATAGTGAAGAATTCCCTCCTCCCCACCACAATGGGCTGGAAGACAAATTGATTATCTTGGAATTACTTGGTGAATGACCCAACTGTGTGAAAAATAATAGCTGGCATTTGTAAAGCATGTGAATGTTCACAAAATTATTTTACCTGTAATATCTCACTTGATCTTCATAATAGTCATCAATCTACTAAGTAACTAGTGATAGATAATGTGTGTCTGTATGTATATGCATATATGCATATGTATATACACACATATATGATATGTATGTGTACATATATACCTATACATGTTATGTGTACATATGCCCCTACACTCACATATATTATATATCATGTCCTTCACACTAT